AATTACTATTATGAGGGATGAAATACTATATGGGGGATGAAATACTATATGGGGGGATGAAATACTATATTTATGGGGGGATGAATTACTATTATGAGGGATGAAATTACTATATGGGGGATGAAATACTATATGAGGGATAAGATATACTATATGGGGGATGAATACTATATGAGGGATGAATAAACTGTATGAGGGATGAAATACTATATGGGGGGATGAAATTACTATATGAGGGATGAAATACTATATGAGGGGATGATGAAATTACACTATATGGGGGGATGTGAAATACTATATGGGGGATGAAATACTATATGAGGGATGAAATACTATCATGAGGGATGAAATACTATATGAGGGATGAATTACTATATGAGGGATGAAATACTATACAGATATGGGGGGGGATGAAATACTATATGGGGGGATGAAATACTATAATGGGGGATGAAATACTATTATGAGGGATGAATTACTATATGAGGGATGAAATACTATAAGGGGGGGATGAAAATACTATATGGGGGGAATGAAATACTATATGAGGGATGAATTACTATATGGGGGGATGAAATACTATATGAGGGATGAATTACTATATGAGGGATGAAATACTATATGAGGGATGAAATACTATATGGGGGGATGAAATACTATATGAGGGATGAAATACTATATGGGGGGATGAAATACTATATGAGGGATGAAATACTATATGAGGGATGAATTACTATAATGGGGGATGAAATACTATATGAGGGATGAAATACTATATGGGGGGATGAAATACTATATGGGGGATGAAATACTATACGGGGGATGAAATACTATACGAGGGATGAAATACTAATACGAGGGATGAAATACTATACGGGGATGCAAATTGCTATGGGGGAGATGAATTACTATATGGGGATGAATTACTATGGGGGATGAATTACTATATGGAGGATGAATTACTATATGGGGGATGAATTACTATATGGGGGATGAATTACTATATGGGGGGGATGAATTACTATGGGGATGAATTACACTATGGGGATGAATTACACTATGGGGGGATGAATTACTATATCGAGGGGATGAATTACTATGGGGGATGAATTACTATATGGGGGATGAATTACTATATGGGGGATTAATTACTATGGGGGATGAATTACTATATGGGGGATTAATTACTATGGGGGATGAATTACTATGGGGGATGAATTACTATATGGGGGATTAATTTACTATGGGGGATGAATTACTATGGGGGATGAATTACTATATGGAGATAATTACTATGGGGGATGAATTACTATATGGGGGGATTAAATTACTATGGGGGATGAATTACTAATGGGGGATTAATTACTATGCTTACTAATGGGGGAATATTACTATACTTACTATGGATGACACATACACATCATTCATCTACTCTTGGTCCGGCCCCCGGGTCCCAATTATAAAATACTCTTAATTATTTCATAATAAAGTAATTATAAAATAAATTTCTTTCCTTTGTGTTTGATTCCTATTCAAGAGAATTACTTTATATATAGTCAATATAGGCACAGAGGTAAATTTTTTTTAACATTTTCTAATGGTGGTGTGCCTCGTGATTTTTTTCATGAAAAAAAGTGTGCCTTTGCACAAAAAAGGTTGAAAAACACTGTCCTACACAATCTGATTGTACAATCTCCTTTAGATCTCCCCCATCACCTATGTAATACAAGAGAGAAAAAGTGCAGCACAACTAAATGTGTATAAGTCACTATAAAAATGTGCAAAGAAAATTGTAAAAATAAAAAAATGACAAACGCATAAAACACAAATAGTGATAAAACTGATATTACTCAATAAAGTGCAATAAATACCAACTTCAACTGTATACACAGTGCTTAATAATTCATAATTACCCATTAAATTTTCATAAATACAATAAAAACTCATGTAAAGCATACAGATAAAACTAATATAAACCAAAACAAAATTCATAAAATATCCATTAAGGCTACGTTCACACTAGTGTTGTGTGCAGGCGGCAGAAAGGCGTTTGGGAAGCGTTTTATTTTTTTACCGCTTCCCAAACGCCTCGGACAATTCTGCACATTGCAGCACATGGTGCTGTTCTAACGGGAGCGTTAGCGTCGCAGCAAAACGGACGCCTCTGGTCGAGTCTGGAGGCGTTGAAGCCTCCTAATCTAGTCTATGGTGCCCGCTCCCGCAAACGCCCGGCCGGCGTTTGCGGTGCAGTTGCGACACGGTTGCGGGGCGTTAGCGGAGCGGGTAAACACCATTCAAACTTCATTATAGGCGTTTGTAGGGCGTTTTTTAACGCTTGGCAAACACCTAGCAACCGCCGCTGAACCGCGTGCATTCGGCGTTTGCCGAGCGTTAAAAAACGCTCCGCAAACACTGGACCAACGCTTGCCAAACGCTATAGGGGGCGTTTGGCAAGAGTGATAAAAACAGTCAAGTGTGAACGAGCCCTAAGAGGTTTCTTCAAAGTATTGTGTTTCGTGACATGCATATGTCATGTGTGCTCAATATATACTTGATGATGTGCTCCACCACCACTGATCCATCACCTTCCAATGCTGCCACTTACCTCAAAGTTTGACCCAGACAAAAGGTAAGGTCAAACACGATTTCCCAAAGATATTAAACCCTGACTGTTGGGAAAGAATGTTTGACCTTGTCTTTGTGTTCGTCAAACATTGAGGAAAGCAGCAGCATTGGAAGGTGATGGCTCACTGTGGAGCACATCAGCACGTACACTTAGCCTTTAACCATGTATTAAATCATTTCTCCCTTTTTTCTTCACAGAATATGTACGGGCATGTGGGCACAACAGAAGCTGTAAGCCTCCAGATTCCCTCTCTCTCCATGAAACTTGTGAGCAATTAAGCAATTTTCTTTTTCAGTAAAAAGGTTGAAGCCCAGGATCAAAAAACAAACACTCATGCAATGGGGCTCCCCTGCGCTGCAAGGGTAAATGCTCGTTAAGCCTGGGGGGGGGGGGGGGGGGGGGGTAGAGAAAGAGACTATTACTTACAATATTCCTCACTTCAGCAAGGTTTCCGCTGCTCTGTCCAGTGCCCCAGGTTGTGGCCAAGCCCTTGGCATCCTATATTGTGCTTGATGCAATCGCTGACCGAAGCGCCTTAGAGGTGGCTGTGGCGGGACTGGTCCCAGAGATTACAGATGATCGGCACAGATAACGCCAAGGGTATTTCTGAGGCTCGGCTGATGCATGCATGTAGACAGCTGTGGACACTCAGCCTGTGCAAAACAATATCAGACCGTCAGAACCCACTGCTGTTTGTATGTATTTACACATCTAGGGGTTACCTGAAATTAAGGGACAGATGTCCAAACATGGATGCACATAGATGTGTCCAGAAATGGACATCTGCCTCCCAATGTAGGTTCCCACTTCATGTGCAGTTAAACATGTACGGCTGACAGCTGCTGCTCCTGTCAGCTAGTCATTGCTTTGTACCGGCTTATTGATCACAGTTGTCTACAACCACCTGTCAGCCAAGCTGCAGCAATATGCTATATCTTGTTACTGTCCATGCTCGTTCATCCGAATGCACAAGACCTAAAGGTAAGCCAAGAAAATTAGTGAACAGCCTACAGCTACACCTTTCACTGTACATGTACCATATATGTACACATGAAGTGTTCATAAACAATATTCCATTTTACCTGACTGAAAAAAAAAATCAGAATTTTAAAATAAACTAAAGATCTCAGTGTGCATCCATGAACTCTGGAAATGTGGAGCTGTGGACCAAACATCAAAAAATTGCCACAAACAGAGTCCAAAACAAGATGTCTCACTTGCAAGTACTACATCGTGTAATGAGCCTTAAAACAGAAATCAAACATATATATAAAAGAAGAACTACTGTTCCAACAGTGTTATATGGATAACTGTGCAAGGGACAGATCCAAAATAAAAGATTTCAGATAAAGCTATTACTGTGTGGAGCAATCTTCTACTATGTTGTTAGCTTCTCCTAAGCGAAAATAAAAAGTGTATTCCGTCAACTACACAGCAAGGGTAAATGCATTTTGTCACTTGTTACAACACAGAAATGTTTACACACACTATATTGCCAAAATTTTTGGACACCTGTCTTTACACGCACATGAACTTTAATGGCATTCCAGTCTTAGTCCGTAAAGTTCAATATAGAGTTGGCTCACCCTTTGCAGTTATAACAGCTTCAACTCTTCTAGGAAGGCTGTCCACAAGGTTTAGGAGTGTGTCTATGGGACCATTCTTCCAGAAGCACATTTGTGAGGTCAGGTACTGATGTCAGACGAGAAGGTCTGGCTCGCAGTCTCCGCTCTAATTCATCCCAAAGGTGTTCTATCGGGTTGAGGTCAGGACTCTGTGCAGGCCAGTCAAGTTCCTCCACCCCAATATCGCTCATCCATGTCTTTAGGGACCTTTCTTTGTGCACTGGTGCGCAGTCAAGTTGGAACAGGAAGGGCCCACCCCCAAACTCTTCCCACAAAGTTGGGAGCATTAAATTGTCCAAAATAACTTGGTATGCGGACACCTTAAAATTTCCCTTCACTGGAACTAAGGGGCCAAGCCCAACCCCTAAAAAACAACCCCACACCATAATCCCCCCTCCACCAAACGTTACACTTGGCACAATGCCATCAGGCAAGTAACTTTCTCCTGGTAATTGACAAACCCAGACACGTCTATCAGATTGCAAGACAGACCAGCCTGATTCATCAATCCAGAGACCATGTCTAGTCCAGTGGCAGCATGCTTTACACCACTGCATCCAACACTTTGCATTGCATCTAGTGAAGTAAGGCTTGGATGCAGCTGCTCAGCCATGGAAACCCATTCCTTGAAGCTCTCTGTGCACTCTTGTTGTGCTAATCTGAAAGCCACACAAAGTTTGCAGGTCTTTAGCTATTGACTCTACAGACAGTTGGCGACTTCTGCGCACTGTGCACTTCAGCATGTGTGGACCCCGCTCTGTCAATTTACGTGGCCTACCACTTCGTGGCTGAGTTGCTGCTGTTCCCAGTTGCTTCCACTTTGTTACAATACCACTAACAGCTGACCATGGAATATTTAGTAGTAAGGAAATGTCACGGATGGACTTATTACACAGGTGGCAACCTATCACGGTACCACACTTGAATTCACTGAGATCCTGAGAGCGACCCATTCTTTCACAAATGTTTGTAGAAGCAGTCTGCATAGGTGCTTGATTTTATACACCTGTGTCCATGGAGGTGATTGGAACACCTGAATCCAATAATTTGGAGGGGTGTCCCAATACTTTTGGCAATGTACTGTTTATTTTGTTAACCCTATTTACTTGTATGCATCTGATATCTGCACTACTGAGTATATTAGGGATATTTACCATTTCCAAATTTTACAAAATAAGAAATGAAGTATTGGGGCTAAAGAAACACTATTAAAAATAGAAAGGCGGCAGAAAAAAGTATACCTTCAGTTAATGGGAAAAGTTCACTCATCTTCTGACGGGCATGTCGCAGCCTTTCCAATTCCCCTTCCTGCCGTAACAATTTGATGAGGTCAACATGGCAGTTGTAATCAAAGGCGTTGATTGACAGCTGGTAAATGAGAAAACACAGAGCATTATTGTGTGTTACAATGTGGGTGACAAGGTGCGTTATGGTGTGAACAAGCAGTAATATGCTATATTATGTGACTAATTCTAGTACTGGCAACCGCTAAGCTTCTCTTTAAACCGTACCTAAACCAAACAACAAATATTATTGCAGCTTGCCAATCCTTAGATGTGGGTGCTGTATTTCAGTCTTTTCCCCTTTAATCACTGCCAAACAATCCCTGTTTTAGACATAACTAAATATACTTCTCAGGTGTCACACACACACACACACAAAATGAAGCAGAGCATGATTCCCTCCCTTCGGAGACTGGGAGCAGGGCAGTATTCCAACATGATAACGACCCCAAACACACCTCCAAGACAACCACTGCCTTGCTAGAGAAGCGGAGGATAAAGGTGATGGACTGGCCAAGCATGTCTCCAGACCTAAACCCTATTGAGCATCTGTGGGGCATCCTCAAACGGAAGGTGGAGGAGCGCAAGGTCTCTAACATTCACCAGCTCCGTGATGTCATGGAGGAGTTAAAGAGAACTCCAGTGGCAACCTGCGAATCTCTGGTGAACTCCATGTCCAAGAGGGTTAAGGCAGTGCTGGAAAATAATGGTGGTCACACAAAATATTGACGCTTTGGGCCCAATTTGGACATTTTCACTTAGGGGTGTACTCACTTTTGTGGCCAGCGGTTTAGGCATTAATGGCTGTGTGTTGAGGTATTTTGAGGGGACAGCAAATTTACACTGTTATACAAGCTGTACACTCACTACTTTACATTGTAGAAAAGTGTCATTTCTTCAGTGTTGTCACATGAAAAGATAAAATAAAATATTCACAAAAATGTGAGGGGTGGACTCACTTCTGTGAGATACTGTACATACATATATACACACACTGCTCAAAAAAAATTAAAGGAGCACTTTGAAAAGACATCAAATCTTCAAATCTTAATGGAAGATATATCATGCTGGATAGCAATACTTATATGGACTGGGTAATGTGTTAGGAATGTAAGGATGCCCCATCGTTTCATCGAGATGAAAATTATCAACCTACAGAGAACTGAATTCAAAGACACCCCGAAAATCAAGTGAAAAAAAATTATACAACAGGCTAGTCCATTTCGCTGAAATTTCATTGCAGCAACTCAAAATGATACTCAGTAGTTTGTATGGATGGACTTTTGTCTTTTTTCAGCCAGACTAACTATGTATGGCCCCCACGTGCTTGTATGCATGCCTGACAACATCGGGGCATGCTCCTAATGAGACAAAGGATGGTGTCCTGGGGTATCTCCTCCCAGATCTGGACCAGGGCATTACTGAGCTCCTGAACAGTCTGAGGTACAACCTGGCAGCAAAGGATACACTGAACCATGATATCCCAGAGGTGTTCTACCGGATTTAGATCAGGAGATCATGTAGGCCATTCAATGGTATCAATTCCTTCATCCTCCAGGAACTGCCTGCATACTGTTGCCACATGAGGCCGGACATTGTCATGCACCAGGAGGAACCCAGGACACACTGAACCAGCATAGGGTCTGACAATGGGTCCAAGGATTTCATCCCGATACCTAATGGCAGTTAGGGTGCCAATGTCTAGCCTGCAGAGGCCTGTGTGTCTCTCAATGGATATGCCTCCCCAGACCATCACTGACCCACCACCAAAATGGCCATGCTGAATGATGTTACAGGCAGTATAATGTTCTCCATGGCTCCAGACCCTTTCACATCTGTCACATATGCTCAGGGTGAACCTGCTCTCGTCTATGAAAAGCACAGGGCACCTGTGGCAGACCTGCCAATTCTGGTGTTCAATGGCAATGCCAATCGAGCTCTATGGTGCCAGGCAGTGAGCACAGGGCCCACTAGAGGACATTGGGCCCCCAGGCCACCCTCATGAAGTCTGTTTTCTGATTGTTTGGGGAAAGACATTCACACCATTGGCCTACTGGAGGTCATTTTGTAGGGCTCTGGCAGTGCTCATCTTGTTCCTCCTTGCACAAAGGAGCAAATATCGGTCCTGCTGATGGGTTAAGGACCTTCTACAGCCCTGTTCAGCTCTCTTAGAGTAACTGCCTATCTCCTGGAATCTCCTCCATGCTCTTCAGACTGTGCTGGGAGACACAGCAAACCTTCTGGCAATGGCACATATCGATGTGCCATCCTGGAGAAGTCGGATTGCCTGTGCAAACCCCTACTAAAAGACTTCAGCTTGTTTTTCAACTGAGTTGTACAGTTTATAGGTCACATTAAAGGTGGAAAAAGTTCTGAAATGATTTAGCTTTGTCTCATTTTTTTACATCACAGAAACCTGACATTTTAACAGGGGTGTGTAGACTTTTTATATCGTGTGTGTATATATATATATATATATATATATATATATATATATATATATATATATATATATATGCCACACACACACACACACACACACACACACACACACACACACACACACAGGTCCATAAATATTGGGACATCGACACAATTCTAACATTTTTGGCTCTATACACCACCACAATGGATTTGAAATGAAACGAACAAGATGTGCTTTAACTGCAGACTGTCAGCTTTAATTTGTATTTACATCCAAATCAGGTGAACGGTGTAGGAATTACAACAGTTTGCATATGTGCCTCCCACTTGTTAAGGGACCAAAAGTAATGGGACAATTGACTTCTCAGCTGTTCCATGGCCAGGTGTGTGTTATTCCCTCATTATCCCAATTACAATGAGCAGATAAAAGGTCCAGAGTTCATTTCAAGTGTGCTATTTGCATTTGGAATCTGTTGCTGTCAACTCTCAAGATGAGATCCAAAGAGCTGTCACTATCAGTGAAGCAAGCCATCATTAGGCTGAAAAAACAAAACAAACCCATCAGAGAGATAGCAAAAACATTAGGCGTGGCCAAAACAACTGTTTGGAACATTCTTAAAAAGAAGGAACGCACCGGTGAGCTCAGCAACACCAAAAGACCCGGAAGACCACGGAAAACAACTGTGGTGGATGATCGAAGAATTCTTTCCCTGGTGAAGAAAACACCCTTCACAACAGTTGGCCAGATCAAGAACACTCTCCAGGAGGTAGGTGTATGTGTGTCAAAGTCAACAATCAAGAGAACACTTCACCAGAGTGAATACAGAGGGTCCACCACAAGATGTAAACCATTGGTGAGCCTCAAAAACGGGAAGGCCAGATTAGAGTTTGCCAAACGACATCTAAAAAAGCCTTCACAGTTCTGGAACAACATCCTATGGACAGATGAGACCAAGATCAACTTGTACCAGAGTGATGGGAAGAGAAGAGTATGGAGAAGGAAAGGAACTGCTCATGATCCTAAGCATACCACCTCATCAGTGAAGCATGGTGGTGGTAGTGTCATGGCGTGGGCATGTATGGCTGCCAATGGAACTGGTTCTCTTGTATTTATTGATGATGTGACTGCTGACAAAAGCAGCAGGATGAATTCTGAAGTGTTTCGGGCAATATTATCTGCTCATATTCAGCCAAATGCTTCAGAACTCATTGGACGCCGCTTCGCAGTGCAGATGTACAATGACCCAAAGCATACTGCAAAAGCAACCAAAGAGTTTTTTTAAGGGAAAGAAGTGGAATGTTATGCAATGGCCAAGTCAATCACCTGACCTGAATCCGATTGAGCATGCATTTCACTTGCTGAAGACAAAACTGAAGGGAAAATGCCCCAAGAACAAGCAGGAACTGAAGACAGTTGCAGTAGAGGCCTGGCAGAGCATCACCAGGGATGAAACCCAGCGTCTGGTGATGTCTATCAGACTTCAGGCTGTAATTGACTGCAAAGGATTTGCAACCAAGTATAAAAAGTGAAAGTTTGATTTATGATTACTATTCTGTCCCATTACTTTTGGTCCCTTAACAAGTGGGAGGCACATATGCAAACTGTTGTAATTCCTACACCGTTCACCTGATTTGGATGTAAATACCCTCAAATTAAAGCTGACAGTCTGCAGTTAAAGCACATCTTGTTCGTTTCATTTCAAATCCATTGCAGTGGTGTATAGAGCCAAAGATGTTAGAATTGTGTCGATGTCCCAATATTTATGGACCTGACTGTATATGTATATATATATGTATATATATATATATATATATATATAAAAATTTATCAGTGCCTACATTCTATACCACAGGTATGCAACCTCTGCACTCCAGCTGTCGTGAAACTACAAATCCCATCATGCCTCTGGGAACACTGCTACAATATATTTACTCTGGAAGTATCCTCTGGAAAGCAAGTACAACTGGTTTAGAATTAGTTAAGGAGATGCACCCTCTAACTTTTTTGATCATTAATGTCACCGGAAATAAAAGTGATGGTAAATCAACATCTGAGTTTTCATGAGACTACAGAAATAGAGGCGAAAATCTTCCATATGGGACACTTGTTCCCAGAATGGCTAAGAGGGGATATCCCTGACAATGAAAGATATGAAGTAAAGTGAAATCTCACTAATGAGACACAGATAGCACCCACCCCCCATACTGGAAAAAAGTTTTGACTTTAAAATAACGTGAAAGCTGAACTCTGGGAATGCTCAATACTACTCTTCCAGTGGTGTACCCCCCACACTGAAAAGTGTTAAATGCTTGTTTTTGTAGAGGGTATTACGGAAAAATTGTATTATTATTCACTTACCTTATCCTCTGCTTCAGCAGGCTCCCCCTTCCATGAGACCAGTCCTCTAGAGCCGCTTCTCTAAAAAGTGATGGCAGCTCTAACATCAAGTGTAGTGTAAAACCAGCAGTCCTGCATTGTAGGTGAGGACACTAAGGGCCTGTTCATAACTGGAGTGTTGGACAGAAGAGTGGAACACTGGCTGCCTGGGTAATGAGGGATGAGGTACGTAAGGGCTCTCACACAGGCGGCAATGCCTACTGCCCTCAAAAAAGGAACATAGCAGCAACTGCCAGGTGTTCAGGAGGCAATCCTGCCACATCCTGAATATCTGCTTTTTTATCATCTCAAGAGAGTTTTTGTATTTATAAGAAAAAAGAAAATGCACCGCAACGGCAAGCCAAGCATTTGGCTGACAGTTGTGGCATTCTCTAATGGGCATATCTGAAAGGCTGCCTGTCAAGACTCTGCTAGCAAAGTAAAAATTGCTGTAGCATGTGGACAGCCCCATCTAGCTGTAATGGCAGAATTTAGGTGGGCAGTTGAAGGGAGGTAAAATCGCAGGTCAACTGACCCTTTTTTATCTCCCCCTGGTCACCCATATGAAACAGCCTTCAGGCTTTTTCCAGGTACCCTAGGCAAAAACATGCACTTAACTCTTGTAGTGTTGGGGGAGCCCCACTGCATGGGTAATTTTTTTCTTTCCTTCAGCATTCAGCTTCAACTATTGAGGCCTGTATGTTCAGATCTGTGCACAAGATGACATTTGATTTGCTACTATGGATCAGTGTACACAGAACTTATCTTTGCTCTGACTTACAGACAGAAAAAGAAGAGACCTAGACAGCCCTGAATGGTGGTGGCCAGCGGCCAATCATCAGTTGGCTCAAACGGCCCCAGCCAATCAGACAGCAGGACGGCCAAGACAGCGTGACTCAAGCTAGAAAATCCAATCAGCAGGCTGTTGGCTGCCAAGCCATGTGCATCGAGGGCAGGCTTCAACGCTGAGTTTGGAAGAAAGGCAGAGCTAGGTCGGTAGTATTACCTTTTCTATTTTCGGTGGCCATTATTGGCACCACGATGATAACCTCATTTTCAGCCTCTGATTTATTGGTGCATCTCTAGTGTTTGATCCATTTTATTTCAGAAAAGGCATATCGTATCCCTTCTGCTCTAAACAGCCCACCTAATCTTGAGATTTCTTTCATTTCAATTTAGTTTCACTTTAAAGTGTTGCTAAACCCACAACAGTAAAATCAGTCTGTATATGCAGCAAAGCATGCTTGGTATACTCACTTTGGAAACTAAGAAGTTAATCCTCCGCACTGTGTAAAAAAAATGTTTGCTCCTGTCTTTTCTGATCCTCCCCTTCTTCTACAGTCCCCAATCCTTCTCCTAATATAACAGAGCCTTGGGAGCAAGCTGCACATGCTCAATTTGGTGTGTATTGCTATTTTTTTTTCTTGGGAGGGTGCATGCGATCAGCACAGGGCCAATCAGCACTGTCCAGACAGAGAGTCAAGGGTTACGCAGCCTCATAGGACAATCAGGGGAGAATGAAAACTCTTCCTACAAGCTTAAACTAGTGCTCTGCTGGGCACTAATATAAGTCATTAGACTGCTATATACTGCTGATGAGAAAGGGTCCTTTCACACGGGTGTTCCGTATGTCCGTTTTTCATGTCTGTTTACAGATAAAAAATGGACACCCTTGTATTTTTTTGTACTAGTGGTTGTAAACGGGTCATCTGTTTACATCCGTTAACCACTTGACCTCCAGAGGATTTACCCCCCTTAATGACCAGGCCTCTTTTTGCTACTCGGCGCTGCACTAATTCAACTGATAACTGCGCAGTCATGCAATGCTGCACCCAAACGAAATTTACGTCCTTTTTTTCACACAAATAGAGCTTTCTTTCGGTGGTATTTGATCACCTGTGCGCTTTTTATTTTTCATGCTATAAACAAAAAAATACTAAAAAATTTGAAGAAAAACAATATTTTTTTTTTACTTTCAGCTATAAAAAAATATATAGTAAACTCAACGTTAGTTATAAATTTAGGCCAAAATGTATTCTGCTACATGTTTTTGGTAAAAAAAAATCCCAATAAGTGTATATTGATTGCTTTGTGTGAAAGTTATAGTGTCTACAATCTATGGCAGGGGTGGGCAAACTTTTTGACTTGAGGGCCGCAATGGGTTTATATATTGGACCCGGGGGCCGGACCAAGAGTAGATGAAATGATGTGTATGTGTCATCCATAGTAAGTATAGTAATATTCCCCCATATATAATTAAGCATAGTAATTCATCCCCCCTATAGTAATTCATCCCCCCTATAGTAATTCATCCCCCATATAGTAATTCATCCCCCATATAGTAATTCACCCCCCCTATAGTAAATTCATCCCCCCTATAGTAATTCATCCCCCATATAGTAATTCATCCCCCATATAGTAATTCATCCCCCATATAGTAATTCATTCCCCATATTAAGTCCCCAAGTCCCCCCTGTGTCAATTCACTTACCTTTGCTCCGCCCGTTCCTCTCGCCGTGTTCCTGCGCCGTTCCAGTGTAGCATGAAAATCTGTCTCCTATGAGATCTGTCCCCCTCGACGTATCTGCGCATGTGCCAGTTTCAGGCATTAGCAGCCGATCGGCGATCTCCGGCACATGCGCAGATACGTCGAGGGGGACAGATCCTCATAGCAGACAGATTTTCATGCTACACCGGTCTTCAGGGCGGACTGTGAGAGGAG